AATACGTTTTGTAAGAGAGAACTCTACTTTTACTATTTTTATGAACACTTATACCTTTGTCATTTATATAATTTGTAATGTGTAGAGAAAATCTAGTGTCATTGTTTTGTTCTCTATTTCATCCTCAGTACACTGCCTTTTGAATCATGTAAATATTGTTTCTCGTTTGGTTTTTATGAACATTTTCCCAAACCCTAGTAAAACTGTGAAATTCGGCCGGTTCTTCTCGCATAGGCACCTCTTTTTCGCCCGGCACTAAAAGGGTTAAATAGAGAAAAAACGCAGGTTCTATACTGTAATAAGTACGAAACGGAAACCTCGCTCTTTGTCCGTATGGAATCGAAGAAGGTAGCAGTTAAAATAATCCGACGAGCCGAAAGCCTGGCTACAATGCCACCTTCGGTATTTCCGACATGTACTGTAATCCTTCTGGTTTTCCCCGGACCTCCACTCTTGGATTACGCTACTTGTAAAACACACCTGCGTAATGCTTATTAAATAGCGAAAAAACGCAGGTTCTATACTGTAACAGGTACGAAACGGAAACCTCACTCTTTGTCCGTATGGAATCGAAGAAGGTAGCAGTTAAAATAATCCGACGAGCCGAAAGACTGGCTACAATGCCATGTGCGGTATTTACGACATGTACTGTAATCCTTCTGGTTTTCCCCGGGCCTCCACTCTTTAATTACGGTATTTATATAACCTACCTGCGTAATGCTTAAATACCGAAAAAATGTTTTCACCGAGCGTAGAGCAGGACAACAATGTCAGAGAAGAGAGAGACCGAGGCTGCAGGTCAGTCCCAGTCCCAGTCCCCAAAGCTTTCTCTTTCACTCTTATTCGCTATCCTTTTCCGCGCCCGATGATTATTACCGTCAATTGAACGCGTGCCTCAAAATAAAAAGGTAACATTCATACTACGGAAGGCGCTGTACAATTAATTTTTCCCGTATATTGCATTCAATTATTTAATAAACGTATACAAAACGTTTCCAAGTACATCCATTTAACTTCACTTTTCCCAATGGACGTTCAATGTTGTTGTGTACGAAAGTATTTGATATTTACAAGTACGACTACTGACGAAAGGAAATGTAATAATTATAATTCATAAGGGACTTTATCACGCGAAGAACGTCGGAAAAATCGGTTTCTGATTTTTTGAAGTACGGCGCATCTCACCGAAGAATCTGGAAAAAATAGGGTATAATAGTCAGACAGAGTCATGTGTACCATAAAAATGTAAATGATCGAAAATTTCTAGATGACATCAGCATTTTTCATTTTTGTAGACCGAACCTGCGCAACGAAAAGAATCTGACAAAATTCTCTGACATCCCACGTACATGTGAGAATTTTTCGGATGTGATTATAAGTAAAGGAATCAAAGGAATTAGGCCGGCTACAGACCTATGCAACGCGCGTCCGCGCAGCGCGCAAAATCCACTTGAATCCACTTGAAACCATTTCAAAGCGACCCTTTCAAGTGGATTTTCCATGTTGCGAAGACAGTTACGCCCGGCTTCGTTGCGTTCGACTCAACTATACCAGAGAGAAAATTTCCTTTCTGGCTATGCAAAAAAATGATTACATGCGTTATTCAAGTATTTCATATGAATAAATCACATTATTCTTCATCTAGCCTCATACTAGAATTCCTTGAAAACTTATATGTATTGAGTTGACAATACCTATCAACAGATTTATTATCGTCAACAAATTCCAAACTCAGATTTTACAAAAAGAAATCAAATATTTCTGAAACAACTATGCAGATATGAGTGTCAAATTTTGCACACCTCTCCATATCACAACAAGCTACTGTTATATTAACAGAAACGTTATTAACGATGGAAGAAACGGTCATTCTTAGGGATTCTGCCCATTTACAAGTAAACATACCATGCTAAGAAAATGGGGACAAGTATTTTATACAATAAAATAAATGGAGTCACATTAGTAAAAGAAATTCGTTTGTATTAAAATATTGTTTCGACATTAACGGTTAACAGATTTAACAGCATCGCTCGGCATTAATAATATTTTCATACGACTTATGACGGGCCATAAGAAACGGTGTAACGTTCAGACAGTCGGCCGAGCCGTCGCGAGAAATAATAAATAACTCCGACAATTATGTAAACACCGGTGGATGCGCGTACTGCAAATTCGAGATTAAATTAACGGAATTACAGGCGAATGGACGAAGAACAACGGGATGATCCTAATATGATGGCATATAAAGTAATATAAATTTCTGGATACAGGGAACGGGAGGAGCGTCTTTCAGGTCGTAATAAATTTCTTTCTCTCTTAATTTGAAGAGAATTAAATCCAGTCTTTATTTCCATAACCCCGTTTCTCATTAAATTCGAAGCTCACTTATATAAACATTCTCCTAAGAAATACTGATAATTATTAACAATACGCTTGCAAACGTCTTCATTACGTATTTTCTAGCGTTGAAATGATTCTTTCGTTCTATTCTAAGTACATGTTAAACGTTGAACTGGATAGGGCAGATCTCTATTCAGTTGGTTCTTGTAAACGCTAAACGTTGAACCGGACAGGGCAGATCTCTGTTCATTGGTTTTGGTAAATGCTAACGTTGAACTGAACAGGGCAGGTCTCTGTTCGTTGGTTCTGGTAAATGCTAAACGTTGAACTGAACGTGTCAGATCCCTGCAAAATTTAGCTTTGGCAGCACCATCGAATTGGGGACACCGAAACCTGGGCCGTGAGCACTCTCAGTTCCTCTCTGGTATAGTAAAATGTATTAATTGCTATTTACTTCCTTGCATTGTCATTCATGTAGTTTCCCGAGCCGGAGCTCGCGCCAGCTGAGCGCTCTAATTGGTCGGGTTTTTTTATTAATAACTCCTTATCCACCCCTCGGACAACTTTTTCGCAAAAGAAAATGTTGTTTAGAATTGCGTCAGGAACCTCCCATTTCAGTATCTTACACTAGTTCTGGGACACCCTGTATATAGTCATAGGTCGGAGACATCCGACAAACTCCTTCGTACGCAGCGTACAGTCACGGACAAAATCGAAACACGATTAACCGTATTTTACTTTAACAATAATAATTATGTTTTTGTGAAAATACACTCTTGTAAGTTGTGAAATCCACGAAAGACGTCGTGTTTCCGATATACTTTAGTATATACACGACAAACAATTGACATAGAAAATGAATTATTCGTCGTAATGTGAAATAAACTGTTACAGTAAATGCTATTCCGCAGTATACTGAAACCGTTAATTCTTATATTTAGAAATTAGGAATGTGTAGTAAAAATTAAAAATATCTGGACGCTGCTTTCGGTTATTATTGATTCGGTGAAATTACCGAATCGGTCAAAAAACCGCATTGTGTGAAAAGGTTGTTACGGTTCACACTACGANTAAAAGCTTGAATTGAAAATATAACCTCACTTTTCAAATATAAAACCTTCCATCTTCGAATAAGGAATTCTTATTTGATTGTAAATACATTATAGACTTAAGATATTCTTAAGAACAAACTGTGAATCGTATTCCAATAGGAATTAGTTTACGAAGCAAATGCTGGAGTGTACGCTTAAGTTGATGCTTATTTCCCGACTTTGAATTGAAACAGGGACTTGAACTTATGCTTAAAAATATCTTGCGATTCTGAATACCGCCCTAAGAGACTCATTAAAGTTATATTTCTCACATGTCTAACAGCGCGGTTTACTACCTCGCCAATCCATAATTCTTAACAAAATATACAGGATGTTCCCTAAAATGTGTTACAGCCGAATATGGCAGGTTGGGAGGATCATCCTAAACAACAATTTCCTTTGACGAAATATAAAATTGAGCTTGGTTTTTGAATTATAAGCGAAAAACACTGACTAATGAGAGCGCGCGAACCACCCGCGCTCAGTGACAGATGTCTTGGCTCGAGTTGTGACACACGGCCATAGCCAGGAAAATAAATGCTCCGCTCAGTACGAAGTGTTTTAAGAACATAACGAATAATAAATTACCAAACAATAAACACATAAACATAAACAATGTATAATGGATGGGGAAAAAAGGAATTTAATAAAATAAATGAGAAATTAAAAAGTCGCAGCGAACATTGAATGTAAAAGAAATGCAAAAACAGTACAGATTGGACTTATCCATTCATCCGCAACCTGCTTCGAGAAAGATGGGTCAAGGACATCCAGCCGATTCTTGAACAGATGGTCGGAGAATTCTGGACTGAAAAAGGACAGTGATCGATTGACATGAGCTGTGGTCGACCATCTATTTTACCAATCTGTACTGTTCTTATAATTCTTTTAAATTGAATGTTCGCTGCAATTTTTTAATTTTTCATTTATCTTGTTAAGTTTCTCTTTTTCTCATCCATTCCACTTGAATAACGATTAATGGGATTGAGCTCTTTGGTCAATAGAGATTGACTTGGTCTAGGTTCAAAAGATTTGGTTTTCATTATTTTAAATAATTGAAATAGTGGTTAGAGATAAGTACGAGCATAGTCGACTCTGAGTGCGCACATGTTGATTAATTCGTAATGAATAAAGTTATTTTTACTCTTTTCACAAAGTGTTAAGCGTTTTACCATTTGTCACTCGCTGCTCTTCGAATCCTACATCTATTAGTTTTTATTCAGAATAAAGTACGACCAGTTCCCTTGCATTGTTATTTATGTAATTTATTATTCATTATTTTCTTAAAGCACTTTGTACTGAGCAGAGCACTTGTTCCTCTGATGTCATGACTCGAGCCAAGATGTCCGTCACTGAGTACAGACGGATCGTGCGCTCTTATTAGTCACTGTTTTTCGCTAATAATTAAAAAACGAAGCCCCACTTTACATTTTGCCGAAGAAAATTGTTGTTCAAAATGATCCTCCTATTCTACCATTTCCGGATCTAGCACTTTTTACGGAACGCCCTGTATATATCCTATGACACCCCGAAGTATATGTACAAAAAAAATCGTAAGTCAAGTTTCGATGCAAATTCTTCAGCCGTTTTTGAGACTTTTGCTAACATACAAACGAATGCTTTCTCTTTAGAAGAATAATAAGATTAATACAATGTGATTTCCCGACTACTTTACAACACTCTGCTCCATGCTCGAGTCATCATCCTGCTCGAAAATCAGCGAGAGCGCTCCCATCCTTAAAACAGCAGTTTGGACATGCCTGATTTATTTTTAATTTGTGCACGTCTACTGCGATACTCACGTCAGCAAAACTACTAACGGAGAGTTCAATGATGTTGCCGGCGGTGATCTTCATGGTGGAACGTGACATAGAAATTATTAGTGGTATAGCGAGCTGTGTTTTTCCAGGCATTCGGTACCACTCGATCATATAAGACTTTTCGCTAATTTTTATTGTCTGCAACATTTATGTACATAAATTGTATTCCATAACATTGCTTTAAATTGTCATTTTTTGGGTGTGTGGAAATAAGAGTAAACACTGTAGTCGATGAAACATAAATGTCCTTATTTGTTAGAATAAAGAATTATTTTTTTATGGGAACGATTAGATAGTGCAAGATACATCTTACGTACATCTTACATATTAGCTTTTTAGTTCTTACATACGTTGTCGTATTACTCACCGATTTTGTCTAGGGAAATTAGGCAAACAAGTCCTTAATGCAATACATATAATTACCTCTTGTACTAATAGTTCACCGATGTAACAGAATATGAAAATGTTAAATGTGATTGATATGAGTACTATTATCCACGTCAGGCCACTAACAGGTTGTGTAAAACTCCATTCCTGAGAGAAAATTCCTGATTAGAATTCTTCTTCGATGTGTCAAATGTATAAACCAGGATTCTGCACGGGTCGGGCCGACGGACCGAGCGCCCCTTCACTCAAGGCCAACTGGGCTTTGCAATAACGCGAACATGATAGTTTTCTGCTTGTGGCCCGAATGCGAGCAGTTCGCTCCTTACTACGTACAGCGTTCCCTACGAACAGCTAATTGCGAACGCACTATAGCGGCGATGCTCGCACTCAGCTCGTAGTAGTCAGGGCCACCGGCCCTGTTACAAGATGGTATGGGTCGCGCCCATAGACCTAAAGAACGGAGCATTGCCTGCGGTATTTTGTGACGGAAAACGGAAGGGGTATCCGAGATTTTAGCCATTTTCTAGGAACGACCAGCGGCGCTCTCTTCATGTAGCGTTCGCGTCCGCGTTCGCGTATCTTCATTATAACAGCCATATTAGCGTCAATGGAGTCCGAGAGCAAGCTCCCAAAGTACGCACATGTATACAGGGTGTAAACCTACAGGTGGGCAATATTTTAAGGACGTGTTCTATGGTCAAAAATAAGACAAAAATCAAGAGAGAAAAAATTGCGTTTGTGGCTTCGTTAATTAGTTACTAACGTTTAAAAATTTGGCGTTTCTGCCCCTGAAACGAGTAATCCGACTTGCAACGGCGGGTGTTTTTACCGTACGCGCAGCTGATCGTTGTCGGTCAATGTATGTCGAAAAGAGCATTCACCCTCCTGACTCGAAAATCCCATAGAGCGTGTTTCGATGTGCTCTTGTGGATTTAGCGAGTAATCAGGTTGAATGCGAGGCACATCATTTAAAATAATTTGCGTTCTCCACTCGTCACCCGAGGTAAGCCCACAAATTATAAGTACGGTACTGTTCATCGTTATCGACATACATTGACCGACGACGATCAGCTGCGCGTACGGTAAAAGCACCCGTCGTTGCAAATCGGATTGCTCGTTTCAGGGGCAGAAACGCCAAATTTTTAAACGTTAATAACTAATTAACCGAACCCCAAACGCAATTTTCTCTCTCTTGATTTTCGTCTTATTTTTGACCATAGAACACGTTCTTAAAATATTGCTCACCTGTAGGTTCACAACCTCTATGTATATATAGCCGTGATACACGCTTGCTTTAGCGCGCGCAAGATTTGTACTAGTTTTACAGACAGGCGGCGCCACTTGTCACTCTTAGAAAATGGCCAATTTGACTGTTCCCCCGCCACGGAAGGAGCTTCCATAGAGATATTATAGATAGAGTACAGATGCCATAGGCTCGCCTGTAAGTGGAATTCATACGCTGTTAGAAAGAAAACGAAGTACAAATTTACTACCTCTCTTTGTTTAACAGCAGCAGAGCGCATGCTCTACATGCATACAGCGCATGCTATTTCGATGCATACAGCGCATGCTATTCCGATGCATATTTTTTCAGGTTATTAGCAGTTATTATAAATTATTAAAATGTCGTGTATTGTTTGTAAGGTGTTATGGGTACTAGGATGTGCTCGCAGTTTTCATAAGTATGATGAATTGCATACATAATTAAGTAAAAAAATAGTATTCTGAACTATATCTACAAAAAATTACATTATCTGATTGTATTGTCTTTTAGATTTCCAAAAGATCTTCAAAGAAGGCAAAAATGGATGCAAATAATTGGAATTTCACAAGTAACAACTAATACGTCCATTTGTAGTGATCATTTCACAGCTGAATCATATTATGAAAGTAATGCGTACACAAGAATAAGAAGATTGCTATCAACTGCAGAGCCAATAGTAAATAAAAATGTTGAAGTTCTGTTATCTAAAAATATTTATAAAAGACTAGTGATTGAAACATTAAAAATTATACCATCTTCAGTTCTAGACGATAATGAACACTCTTTGGAACAACCATTTTTATGTGATCATTGACAAAAATTAATTTATCTTATTATTCAAGACTATATATTGATAAAAGACTTAAGCATGAAGGCAATAAAATGAAAGATTTAAAATTTAGGACGCGTATGTTATATAACAAACTTACTATTTTTAAAGGCGAGTGAAATAATGCAAACTAATCTGTGATTGTAGATAAGTATTGTTATTTCATTAATATGAACGTTATTTCTCATTCTAATTTTATAATTTCTATTCTAATTTTATATTCTCTAATTTTATAACTTATATGTACCTGAATAAATAAATTATTTACAAAGAGTTTTTAAATGTCCGATCTTTAATGTATTTAATTGTTATAAAATTCAATATATTACCCATATGCATTCGCGAATTTTAATATAATATTCATCAGTCTACAATTTTATTGTAAAAAATAGAAGTACCTTGTACTATGCACATGCAAATTCCATTGAATATAATTAATTTTGTGCAATTCTGTCGGGGCGCGAACGTATTCGAACCCATATATATACCTATATGAGTACTGCGCATGCGTCGGTAGAGAGAAAGAGGTAGTATTCCTCGTGTTCCTTTCTCTTTCTATTTGCGACTCACGTTTGCGGTTGGCTTCTGTACTCTATGTATACTATCTCTATGGGAGCTTCACTCCTCCTTCATCTATAAAAGCAGTTTATACTCCGTACTTCAGGTCCATGGTCGTGCCGCAATGTAACAGGCCGGCCGCAGTTCTCAGGGCCACAGGCAGGAAACTATCATGTTCGCGTTATTGCAAAGCCTGGTTGATCCTGAGTGGAGGGCAGCTCGGCCCGACGGCCCGATCCGTGCAGAACACTGGTAAACTCCTACCATCATTGTATAGTATCCTACGAAACACATAATTATAGTGCATCCCACGAATTCTATTAGCGATATCTCGCGTAACAGATTGTCCGTGCGAGCTATGAAACTGAAAAACCTCAAATTATACATATAACAATAATATACGCATATATTTCATATTAATTTTTATAAAACCCTTACGGTAAATATACCATTTATGGCCACTGCACCGTTTATGGCCAGTATTTCGATGTATTGAGTATTCAGATTAATTTCATTAAAATTAACACTATGCCGTCCGGCGACACCACAGTGGTGTTGTGCACGAAATAGCGGTCACCGGCCGGCGACACCACAGTGGTGTCGTGCGCGAAATAACGGTCCACGGCCGGCGACTCCACAGTGGTGTCTTGCGCGAACTAACGGTCAACGGCCAGCAGTGACACCACAGTGGTGTGTGCATAGTATTGCACAGTGGCTAGCGGCAGCACTTTAGTATCTTTTATATCTTCAAAATTTCATGAAAGTAGGGGAACAGGGTTGAGAACTTATGAGAACTAACGATGAGATTAGTAAAACTTAACAATTTATAATCTCCCGAAAATGTCAAAAACAGCCGGCGACAAGCCAAGTAATCCGAATTAGCGCTGCCGGCGCCAAGCGAATAAATTTTTACGAGACGTGCGGACGGCAAAGTGTTAATATACTTGCAGAAACGTGGTGTACTGCCATCATTGTCTATTTCTTCCTACAGTCCCATTATTTTGATTTATTTATGAAATGTACGTAAACGTACTAGTTTTGCCAGCTCTTTATAATCAGCCAGTGACCAGTATGTATACTACCAATTATTGTATTTTATAAGAGCGTAAACCAAGTTTTTTACATCTTTATTTCATATAAGGTATAATTCCAAACAATTTCGAAATTAGACACTGACCATAAACGGTACGATAAAAATGTAATTGAACCATTTTTGGCCACAAATAGTACAGTTCGTAGTCATGTTTTGCCAATAGTTGAAGCACACAAAGAACTACAAGCTGTTTTCAAGTCGAGATCTACAGTTCCTAAAAAAGAACAGTTAATTATTTTGTGTGCCTAATCCTGTATAATCAATGATACATTGTTAATATCATTGGGATCATATCTAATGGAATTTCGCCTTTTGAATTATTTATTAGTTATAGCCTAATTTCTTTATTTACGGTAAGCGAAAGTTCTTCACAATTCATGCCTATTGAATTATCGAGTTCAAATAGTCTCAAACAAAATGTCTCTTCTCATTAATTGTGTAGTACTACTTTACTTGTACCGAACGTATCATGGATACTAATGTATATCCCACAATAATCGAGAAATATTTCTTGTAAAATACTATTGAAGTCTGAGAGAAAAAGCTGGTGAAACCAGCAATAAAAATATTCACGTAGAAACTAAGACTAATGATTTAGTAAGTCGAATAAAATAGTTAAAAATCGTGACCTTTTCTTTCTTCTTTGTAAATCCCACCTATAGCAATTTTTTTACTTTTTTTTTATACATCATGTAGTAAATGAATGAGTCTAAGAGCTAACAAGAAGTTAAGTCGATAAGAACAATATTAAAAAAGATATTCAATTTTGAAATGTATGTATTTAGTATAAACATTGCAATCGTAAAAAGTCATTCGATGATATTTTAGGAGATCTATTTTTATGGGCCGTGAAAGAAAGGGTCGCAAAAGGCAAGCGAAAAGCAGCTCAACATCTGCCTACTGTAATAACGGCAGATAAATAGATGGAAATAATGCAGGTCAAGAAAAGAAGAGATGGATATAATTAACAAAGTAAAACGACAAACAAAATTAGAAGAAAATAAAAATATTAAAACAAAAAATTGAAGGGAGCCAAAAATATAAAATCTATTGTCGCAAGCAAGAATTAAAAGAAATATTGAATGGTTTATTAAAGAGTTACTATTCTTGTACCGTAATTATTGTAATATTTGTGCAGAAACAGATGCTTGTAATTAATACTATTACTATTTCAGAAGTGACCGCAAATGCGAAAATAGGTGGCCAAAAATGGCAATTTTAGGCCCGAATATGCGATATTGTAACAATTTTTTCAATTATTATGTTTCGAACACTGCATACGTCATAATGTTTTGATTATATATTTAAGACTACATTGATATACTTTTTACTTCTTTATACCTATTTTGTAAATCTCCAAAGACCGTTAAAGTGGTCACAAATGGTACAATTTACATCACTCTTATGTAATCTTACTTAACTATCCGGACATGTAGCTCCACGATATTAGCTAGCCTCTGATCCAGACTATCGATGTTTTTTTCACGTCCGTCCACCAAATTCTCCATCCAACTCATCAAAACCTGTATTTGTCCACAGGCATGCATTGCGAGAAGTGCAGCTAGAGCGCAAGCAGTCACCGTAATACTATTGCACACGAATGACGATAACAATTGTACCATGCAAATAATTTCGTTGTACGGACTGTGGCGAAAGTCCAAGATTGTCATTGGAAAATAGATAGACGGCATGATGTAAGTCAAATTGCCACCTTCTTCCACGATTCTCCCTTGTGTGAGAGGTAGGATGATACAAAAGAAGATCACGGACCCGTACGAGAAAAATCCGCATATCAGGATGAGTCGATGACAGAAACTCGCACTATCTAACATTATTTTACGGTCCTCGTAATGTTTCACATTCTTCCAATCGTTGTCGATGTACTCCGTACACCAACGTATATCGTCCTCGTGATGGTTGAGAAAATAGTATTTCAATACCGCCATTAAGATAAAACCGAGAGTACTACCTAGTTTGAATTGCATGTAAAGGTCTTTCTGCTCGAACACGATGCCGACACTACCGGGAATCAAAGAGCAGCCAAGTAGAACATAGCACAGCAGTTGCAAGAACGCATTCTCGATCGTTTTCAGCCTTGGGTGATACACTGGTCTAGGCCAGGAACCTACCAATCTTAACATCCAAAAATTGAAACGGATGTTGAAGCTTAGATCGGATTTGTAATTTCTGTTGAAAATTTGCTCCTCAATCTGAATTTTTCCTGCGTTCATCGTTGAATGTCGACTTCCAGGGGCTCACTGGTGAGTATTTCTCTATTCGAAAAACTTGACTACTCATGCATCATTAATTCGAAGACAATAGCGTGTCAGGAAGTAGTTTCTTATGCGCGGTTTGCGATGATGTTTCTCAACTAACTTTGGTCTTTGATAAGTACGTTCTTACTCATATTCATGGTAACTGAAAGCGGTAAAGACGGTGAAGAACGGTAATAACATGTTTTGGGACGAATTTTGCAATAGAAAAGGAAATAATCGAGAAGAAATGATTGCGGTTGTTTTCTACGTTCTTCTTGTTCTTGAAAGCGAAGCATTAATATTGGGAAATAATCCATAAAATTATCAAGAAGAACGCTTTAATAAATGGATGAAAGCATAAATTGTAAATAAGATTTTCAGAAATCCACGTTTACTAACATTTTCCATAAAAGTACAATATAAGTAAAGCTATAGTTATGCTAATAATATATGCACAATGTTCGGCGCGGCGCGTGGTTCTCGCTGTTGTAAAGTTCATATCGAGTAGTTGCCTGCATGGCAACTTTGCCGATAAGTCTAAGAATTGTAAATTGGAGCAGCAAAGTACACGTAGCAGTGTCGCAACGAAAGTACTCAAAGGATAACTAATAAAACCGTGGTGTTAATTGTGGAATTGTTCATTATATAAAATATTTAGGCACTTTACATTGACATGATCTAAAAAACACTTTTCAATACACACATGCATGGATTGGATGTTATAATCATACATAGTGTCTGTTATTATTTCATGTGCAAAAAGTAACTGCGACGCTCCCAGCAGCTTTTACGCTTACCAATCCTACCTTTCAGAAAAATGTAAAAGCGATTTACTATGCAGTATTCATTTCTTTCAGGCTAGTGACGACCTTCAATTAATAGTAGAACAGTGTCGAGAAGTTAGTGCGAACCTACAAGTGCTACAGAAAGCGAAAGATACTAAAAAGATATTTTGAATCAAAGAAGCAGGAAAGATACGACAAATTCTCACCTAGTTTTGATAGCATTGGGGAGAATCAGACTATACTTTCAAAGTAATTAAATATTCATTTTAGAACTATTCATTTTAGAATTATCTTGTTCGATGTTTTATTTTAATTTAATATACTTACATGATCTTTCAGCGTTTATTGAACAATGAATCAGCTCAGGCTATTCGTCCACCTAAAAGCCAATCCCTTAAGAACAGTGTCGATGCAACATTACACAACATATTTTGGGCCAGCTGAGCACGTTTTCCAAGGTCTACCACTGCCGTACCTTAATTTTCAAGTTTCTATGTTTGTTGTATATTCAGTATGGTCTCTAAACGTTTCCGCAAAAAATTTTATCTTGATCGCCCTCATCAAAATTTTTATTATACTTTTGATTGATGTACCATTTTTATTTTAAGTAACAGATATAAACAAGAAATTCATTTCATCATGGGTTGTTACTCGATAGTTTTTTATTTGTTATTTGTAAAAATATCTAAGGAACATGCATATTCTAGGGGTTTATGGGCTTGATAAGATAAATGGTCAGTGATGGTTCATGGACTTGCACAGTGAGACTTTGATCCATCCTTATCGATCTTTCATTCTTTTGGATCTCGTCAATATTAGATTTACGTTTGGTACATTACGTCATCAACTCTCTACTATTACGCCTTAATTGCCGACTGCGTCTAACTGTCACTGTAACACGCACGGAATTAAGACAGTCCCTTACGCGGGGAAGGAGGGGACGTATACAATACAAACGACAGCGACTACCGTTGCCACGTAACATTTGAAAACGAAATGGGAAAACCATTAGAATTAACTGATAAACGAAGATCATCTGCATTACGGATAGTCGATGGGACATGTAAGAATTTTGCTTAATGATAATTTGAAAAAAGACATGAAATGTAAGGATGTCGTTAATTTTTGGGAAAGTGAATAACAAAAGTTATAAAAAAAGATAATTATCTCTGGACACAGCGAAGAATAAATACAAAAACATCTCTGAATCAACAATATAGGATGAACAAATGAATAATGGAGGATCACGCATTGATAAGTTCGATTGCGTGGCAAGAGCCACATTGACAAAATTCAGTAAAACATAAAATTAAAACATGATAATACATGATATTAATTTAAGACGATGGCAGTACACGAAAACAAACATGTTTGGTAAGATTTTAAGCGACATCACACTGACTGTAGAATTTTGAAATACCGTATCGTTTTAAGAAAAACGACAAAATTCATCAGGCGTGATTATAACGAGAGTGAATCTACCATTAATAAAACTACAGAAAATTTTGTTCTTGATGTTAAAGCATGTTAACACTCCCGCGAATGTTAGCGAGTGAGTGGCCAGGGGAAAGTGACGATGCACCGTGATTGTTGAAAATAGTTTATTATCTCCTCTATTCGGACGGCTGGTAGCGACGCGTTCTTAAACAATATCGGACTCGCAACCTTTTCGACTGGCTTCGACAACTCCCTTTCGAATCTCTCCTGGTCGATTGCTCAATTCCAAAAGGCTAACTAACTGGCTGTCTTAAACTGTCAAACTGCCTAGACCAATTGTCTGACCCCCAATTCCAACTGCTTCCAACTACCAATTGCCAAGTCAACTGTGTCAACCAACTGTGTCCTCTCAAAAAACGCGCCCGCTATTTATTTGGATCCTAGGACCCGCCTCCTCCCTCGCTATCGATCGACGCCGTCGATTGCCGGAAACCGCGTTCTCCCTTTCTATAATCAACCCCCGAGGAAAATGTCCAATCTCTCGGTCGATAATCACCCTTTTCTCGGACACCCACACCCAGGCGGAATCCGCACGAATCTCCTTTCTTCTAGCATCCCCAAACCCTTAGGCCCTAAACATCGCGCGGTCCGCGGCCCAAACTGGACCCCCCAGGCCTCGTCCAACCGCGGATGCCAACGGTGTCAGCAGCCATGTGTTTATTCTCAGCCCTCGAACCCGAGTCGATGCTATTCTCTTTCTAGGAAGAGGCAATAAATTGACTGCGATAAGTTCGACAGTTATCGATTCCAAGCTTGTCCTAATAATCTAAACAGTTTTCTTACCCCGCATTCCAAACGCTCAATATACAGCCGTGTCCGTTGACAAATTTACTATTAACAAGCTCAGGTCGTTCTTGCATTCACCCAAGCTTCGCTTGTGACGTGGGGAAAACTCTTCTTGAGAAAACCCACGCCAGGAACGGTCGTTATAGTAATAAATAAATCTACCCGCGCGTCATCGACCAAATGTATTTATGAGCAAGATAACGACTTATGACTAAACACGCACAATACGACCGATACTTGAGATACGCGAGCTACGCGTGCCAGCCTCTCCCGGAAACACAAGCGAGCCTTTTCAGACGCAATTTCCCTGCCAGATGTCACGCGCCTGGCGCACGCACCGAGTCCGCCAAGGACCCAGAGGGTCCGGTGACAATCCGCACGCAGTCATAAAAAAGGCTAACCGGCCCAAGACTGCAGACTCAAACTACAGGCGTTATCTATTCGTTCGTTTGCTCGCTCGACCCTACGATTGACATAGGCCATAAACCCTACTTCAATTTTCAACGGGTACTTGCGTTCAGGAGGTCTGCCAAATAATTTCCCAGTCAGCCAAATCTGCAAACGGCAGGATTTCGGTAGGCCTACTGCATGATCTACCGGTAGACTGGCTGCAGAATGCGCCAATCCCTGACATCAGCATCTGACGGCAATCTGGCAGTAGAATGACTGCAGACTGCTCGCCATCTGCCTCCAGATGCTGGTGCCAAGCCCGTCGCCAGTATGGTAACAGAGTAACGCCAGGTCTGATGTCAAGCCTGTTTCCAGAATGATTGTAGATTGTCGTCAGACCTGCCGTCACATCTGGCTTCAGACTGGCGGCAGATTTACGTCAGGTCCTGCTGTCGCAAACAGGGTGTCCCAAAATGCACACTGTCGGAGGACAGTCGTGCATTCTGGGACACCCTGTATAGTGAATCGCGCGATAAATGACCTGCCCAAGTTAGCCATTTGAACAATTATATATAATTTATAGATAAACAGCCAGCATAACAGCCGCCAAATCTGATGCTATATTTCGCAAACTTGAATTTTAATCTGTTAGTAATAACCTCGGTGATAATACCCAAATGTACTGATGTATAAACACTAAAAGATTATGATATCTAATATAATACGTATACTATAATATTGAATGATTATACATATGTATTTAGTGTCTTTAGTGATACAGTAAATAGTATATTATAATAATTTATATTTTATTATTATACACAGGAATTCGGATTCGGAGTCCGAATTTCGGACGCGTCCTGTTCAGTTGGTCACCAACGTCACCAACTATCGCGCCCGTCGGACGTGTCATTGCCATTGAGCTATATGAAATCAGTGAGTAAATTGTTGAAAATGAGTTATTGCCGTGCTTCATCTGTCTGATTCCACCTGGCCAGAGGGGCAGGATCGGCAGGATTCAAGGTACGGCTGCTTCTGATCCCGCCAGCAATAAGAACGTAAGTATAAGCCATTTGTGACAATATCATTTTTAAATGTGTCAATATTCTATGTACATAATATGTGTTAACTCCTGTACTGTTCTTGGTTGCAGAATACGTAGGAGCATCGAACATCCGACTCCACCAGACCAGAGGAACAGCATTCATCCTACACAAGAAATAACACTACGATTAACCTAACCATTTATTTCATTTACATTCCAGCTATTATACAATATGTACATGAAGGAAATAAATATGTGAATTAAACTTTAATAATAACATGTGTTCATTTTTTAATAAAGAAAACCCTGTATTTCTGTATATATATATATATATATATATATTAATATTTAGCAGAATTTAATCAGAATGTATGGCAGATTGCTGTCATTCTACTGTTAGGTTTGATATCAGGCCTGGCGTGAATCTGCTGTCATTCTGGTGTCAGGTCTGATGTCAGGCCTGGCACGATTCTGCTCTCATTCTGCTCTCAGGTCTGGAGGCCAGGCCTACCGACAGGCTGGCTGCCTAATGCGTCACAGCGACCGCCAGCCTGTCGGTAGATTCTGCGGAAGATGGCAGGATCTGTCGACAGCCTGGCCCCATTCTGCCACCAGATGGTTGACTGGGTTATTGCATAACAGTCAAAAAACTACATTGCATTGTCGGTCCCCGGAATTGCAATAGAGTCTACTATCTCTGATGTGACACGCTTCCACAGGGCAACTGGGTCGCAGAGGAAGATCCCTTGTCCCGAACTCGTCGTTTTATCAACCGTCATCGGTTGGAGACGAGGAAAGCGGACCCGACGATCCCAAATTCGAACCGTCGTGCACGCAGCCTACGCAGCGGTATCTAAACCTCTCGCATTTAGAAGTCGCAATTCCCGTCCATATACTCAAGTTCACGTCGGTAACAAAGCACATCTTCAATACTACGGAGATGCCGATATTTATAATACCACCGAGGAGAGATTACTAAAAATTGGCAGCCTTATGGGACCTCGCGGCCCGAAAACCGGTCTGCAATTTTTGACGCCCTCTAGAATGAGCTGGGCCGAAAAGTAAGAAACACGAAGCAAAACTGACGTCGGTTCTAAACTGCATTACTGTGTCAGACGTGTTATCGACGAGTCGTCGATGCACCACTAACGAAGTAATATCACAAACGAAGTATACATAAGTAGAGATTGATCAATGCATTTCGTTGTGAACTGTCGATGTGGTTCTAGCTCTAATAGAGATCGAACGGGATTGTTCATAGTCCCAATTAGTTATTAAATAAGAAATATTTTACTATTATAATTTCTATCGTAATGAAAAAGTTATAAAATTATCCACAGTCATTGAAAGTATTATTCCATACAGTTTAATATAATTATGGTATTTTTATTTTGTTGAAGACAACAAAATTCCAGCTAAACCCTCCATTAATGGAACGGAAACATTTACATATTTTTTTGTGTAAAAGCTGAAGTCAATGCAAGCTGATTCTAATCGTACATGTAAATATAACAATTAATTGCATTCTGTTTCATATAATTTCTTTGCCGTCTGCTATCGGGGAAAGCTAATTTTGCTCACCCCGAAGTTGAAAATTTTTACTCTGGTATTACACTATTCTTCTCGCATGTCTTTCATACCGTTTTTTTACCTGCTCCGGTCCGAAACATCCGAAACAGGTAAAGTCCCAACACGGTCACAATTAGTAAATTTACATCAACTTCTGAATTTTTAATCCATTAGCGGTAGAACCTCCTTAATGGATTGAGAGTTTTGTTCATGTGATGCGTGGGACTCATTGTCACTGGGTCCCGTTAGCGGTTGCTTAAAAAAGTCCGTATCGGTAGATTGATCAATTTTACTGCAGTCTACCTCTAAACGGCCTCGGACTTTCATTTGGGTACTCTTTATGGCTCGTTGTCACTGGGTCGCGAACCTAGCTTTTTTATTATAAAAATAGGTACCAAGTAATGTTGTAATTTTAAATCTACATCTCACTGTATTTTACCCCTGTTACAAATACGTATGAATCAACGGGCACGCATGAATTGCATGCGTCTTCATACATATCGGGATATTGCATCGCAGACGCGCGTTAATCATACATTCGCGTACGCAACTTTTTAAAATGAATTTATTGTTGTTTAATGTGCTCAGCCAATTTTTAGAAAAAATAGACGCGGAAAGAATAAAAACATTTGTTATGAAAGAAACGGAACAACCTCAGACAGAAATGACAAGCCAGATAGCTGCGTTTACAGGTCCAGTGAGGCAGAATGAAATACCGGAAGAAGCTAACCCGGTAAAAATCGATGATCATGATTATCGAAATAAAGATGTAATAGAGAGAAATGGGTTTAATTATATTTGTGGATACTTGATATCAAAGTGTCGAAAAAAACATTCTTGTGAAGTATGTGAGGTATTTGCTAACGATAAAGAAAACTTAGATCCTGACAATTTGTACACATCATTTAGAACTTACAAACCTACAGAGGACAACGAATACGGTGGTCTGTGTCTCCCAAATAGTGCGTTCATGGCGTACATTTCCAAACTATATGATATCTTTTTCAATTATTTAAATGAGCATATGTTGGATAGTAATCTATTACAGACAATTATTGTAATGTTAAAAAGTGTTCCATGCCCACAACCATGCACCAATTTCCCATTAAGCTATTTACTAGCACTGTGCGCCAGAGTGCGATTATATTTTACATTAAAATTTGTAAATAGATCATTTAAGACTCAAGAAACGGACAAAAAAATTATCATTCTTCAGCATAGATGAAAGCCATGGTTGACAATTGTGAATAACAGCAATTGTACTCGCGGGCCATGGGATCACGCGAGTTGCTCGACGCTATAAATTACTTACTGAAGTGTGAAAATATTAGAGTTAATATATTTTTACAGAAGTAGATTCAGAGGATCCAATGTTGGGAAGGAGGAATAATGAGTGGACAGTTGTATGTCGACAATAGAAGCTTTATTCTCTAATTACTTTATATGTGCAACTTTAAAACCGCTTTCCATTTTTGCATAGGTACATCCAAAGATAAAAAGCATGCAACGGGAAAGACGTAAAGCCGTTTTTCATTTTTACAGAAGTACATAAAAACCATAAAAATCTGCGCTAACCCAGTTGAAAAAGAAATTCAGTGCGAATTTTTTTACAGATTTTAGTCTTTCGCGTAATATTTCTAATTCTAATTCACTTTTCATTTTAAAAAAGTCTATCTCCATCTGTCTCATCTGCCGCCTGTGTTGTAAATGCTCTCTAGCGTCTACTAATAACAATTTCTCTCGTTCTGATCGTGCTAATGTTTCCTGATCGTCGCTGGTGTTCTTCGGAATAACTGAAAATAAAGCAGGACAAATTATTTATGTGATTTAATTATTAGTAATTATAATGATAATTATGTTACGTTGCTTACTAGTATCTTCCGGCGTCCTTCAGTGATCATCATTCACGCTAGGACAATCAGTATGTTCGTCTATTTCCATGTGTGGTGTAAATAGTGGCTGCTCTATTATTTCGCGGTCTGCTTCTGCAACAGTTTTTATATTATGAAGAAAAATCACTGAGCGATGAGAGTGTTCGAAGAGCGCGCGCTCAGGGCTACGACTATTACCGTGCCGTGTCCTCACGCAACGCTCCTAAATAATACGTAATTACTTAATTATCATCTACTTTGTACAACATTGTTCGTCATTATGCGTTTCAACAATTCTGTCATTCGAAGTGTACAATCCCGGTAGGTACCGCGTACATCAGTCCGGGCGTTATAGCCGAAATTTCGGGGTCTGGTTGTTCAACGAGATTTACAGGTGGCCCACCACCTGTTGGCATACTCTGTAAATACGATATCTTAGACGAAGGTGATCCCTGGGTGCATCACGAATCCGACGATTCCGACAGAAGTACTTTAGAAATTGAATAACAGAGAATTCATGTTCCTTCATGTTCTTCAGTTCATTATACATATATACNTGTATATCATTATACAATGTATATCATTACATATGTATATTGTACATATGTATGTATATATGTTTCTTATATTTATATATATTTCTTATAATCCTTGTAAATATTAAATATTTGAATATTTCTTATTCACGTGTATAATTCTCTGTCCTACCTATTCAAACTGTGGTCGGTAAGGCGGCGATTAACTCATGGTAGGAGGCCTGAGACGTTCGCTGCGGCCCCCACCACCTTTCAAGTTGCGCGGAACGCTCCTAGTCATTCGGGAACTCAAGTATAGTTATGTATCGGTGTCGTCGAACGATGAATCTGAACTGTTGTTCCCGATCTCTTAATGTCTCGATCTGATGTGCCTTTCGAGATCTCGTTTTCTGACCATAATTGTACCGCACAAGTCGCCCGTGTAAGGTGTTTCGCCGTCGGTATGCACTCGCATGTGCTTGTTCAAATTGCTTGGATCACCGAATGGTCTCAAACAATATTTGCATCTAAGCGGTTTGTATCCAGTATGAGTCCTGCGTAAACAGAAACAGTGAACACTTTCGTTAATCTCTCTTGAAACCAGACATCTCTGCATTTAAGAAACGGATTTATTAAAAGAAGAAAAATTGTTGATCCACTGACCTGATATGAAGTTTTAATCCGTATTTCCTGGAATAGACTTTCCCACAGTAGATGCAGAGGTGTCCCCATTCCGTTGCACCTATGCTGCTGACTATGGTCTCCAGCTGAGCGGCGTGGACGTTGGCGATGGGTGCTGGAGCGGTCGGTGGAATGGTGTACGTTCTTAAAACGGGCTCTTGGTTCGTGTAAGGCTTGAACGCTGATTGTCGAATTAAATTAAAATCTTTCACTACAGGAGGATTTGACGAGTTTGATGAGATCGGCTTAGGCGTGGAGTTCGGAGATATCTGATTCGAAGATGTTGGCGAGGCTTGGCCCGACGAATGGGACGAATTATCGTTTGTAACGGGAACGTTGGCGCCTATTAAAATCTGGCGATAATCCTCTGGCGATTTTCTCAATTGCAAACTGAACGGTGGTTGCGGGAACAGGCTGAAGGACAAGCTCGACTTATGTGGCGAGCCGAACTCTGTCGCTAGCGAGGTCCAAAAATGATTAGTGTCCAGTCGATTACATTTCAGGGCTAGGTGGATTTTTAATGGATTCGGGTACTCGAAGAGATCGTTGCATACATGGCAGATGTAACGGTTCTGTCCTGAAACAGATAAGCGTTTCACTTAATTAAATATAATTACGAAATGTAGAAAATTGTATATACGCAATATANATATTAGCTGGCGTCAAAAACGGTATATTCAGCATAGCTAGAATACTTTCGGTGAACCACATCAACAATGGTTCGCCCGGTGTTATACATCTCGTGGCTCTTAATATCACTCCCTTGCCGCTGAGTGCTAAAATAACGTTACAGCTCTGACAGTCTTTCGCGAATAAGACGATTTTTAGCCAGCAAGAAGTGTTTACCTCCCCGTCGGCGCAATAAAGATGACCATTCGCATCAGCAACCTCCACCTATAATCGATCGATCAATCAAATTCCCATTATTCCTCTCTCCTCTAATTATTTCTTCATGTATAGATGAAATTTCTTGTACATACATATTGGATGACCGACGTGCTCTTCTGCGACAGTTTGTTCACGTCGACGATCTCCGTTGCAGAATCTTTTCGGAGGATTCCAGCGGCCTTGACTATCGGCCTGTCCAGGCATCCTGGAGCCAAAATCGTTCTTTCGAAGGCTTCGATTCCTCTCAACAGAGTGGTCTCCGTGATTAGTGGATACCTAATTGCGTTTCCCGAATCCATTCTTGAATACTGTTTACAAATACATATCCTCTTCGCGTTCTCTACTTGGAGAACCACAAGAACTTCCCGCGCTCACTTTTAAATAAACAGACACTAACCGATTGATCTGAACGCGCGTACAAATGACGATTCTATGATAGACACTAATATTCGTAAACCTGCCTCGATATCTAGGTCAACTGAATGCAACCTGTATTCCGCACGTGGCTATATATATTACGGTTCGTGCCCCGAATTGACTATCCGGGGGTTACTTAGCTCCCCTCCATCGTTGCACCCCACCTGGGTACAGTGTAATTGTATTTAAATAGCCCCTTCTAAGGGTAATTCGGATCACGAACTTGGGACCTTCGAATTCTGATTCGCTACCAATCGTGCAGGGGCGGGCTGTGATTACGTGTGAGGGGTTTTTCGGTGTTCGAGCGCAAGGTGTATAGAAAATGAACATTCGAATTCAGCTTATAATAGTACTTTGTGTACCAAGCAGGTCAGCTAGACGCGTTCTTTCCAAAGAGTCTGGGGTAAGTGCCGTGCTGTTCCTCACAATCCTCCTACCAGAAGGCATCCTTGCCTTCCCCACTCCGTGGCCAGATCCTTAATAACAATATCTTTGTTGGTTAGTGCTAGGCTCGCCTAGCCGCTTTACCTTCTTTAACTGTTTCCACGTTTCGTCGTGGCCAACGTATTTTATGACACTCAATGGTCGTGTGGCTTCGGGCCATCCGCCATTTGGACACTACCCTCGCAAAGCCTCTTAAGGCCCATGCAAGCTGGGTCCCTATCGTAAAACCATTTAAAAAGAACGAGGAGTCTCGGGTTAACTACCCTTGACAACTCTTAAAAATAAGCTGCCGAAAACATGTTGAATTAATTTCACATTGTATGATCGATGAATCGGCTCATCAGACTTTTCTATGGAAATTGAAAAGCAGTAGATATAAGCATTCGATGGAAAATTCCTTTAAGTGCGGAAGGATTATAAAATATTACAGGAACGCGGAATATTTGCGTGGGAAGGTTACTTTCAATTAACCTGTGCTCAGCCATCCGCACAATTTTCATTTTGGGATATCGATGGGTCAATATTTACCGCAGAGTGTCTATGATTAAAAATCAGTCGTACGGAACGTCATACCGGGGTAATTGTTTTACAACCGTACTCCATATCGAAGGGCCAGGATTCGAGAGATCGTCTTCACTAAGAATAATAAAGTGCGTCGTATCACCCAAGGTGTTACATTCACAGGTACCTAGTGCAGGCAGTAAGCTAGTCAACTGAGACTTTTTTTTGGCGCCGGATTGTCTCGTCCATTGAATAGCTTTCAGGACGAATATTATCTCCGTTTATCGATACCGAACAAGTTACAACAACAACTACGGTCAATCCTTCATTTCTCACAAGAATCTGGTATCCTTCCGGAAATCTCTAAGATCAGCTTCTTTTACTTTTACAATCCCACTATTTAAATATGTGAATCCATTTGAAAAGTGTTTTTAGTTTCGTAAATCATTTTTCTATCTCGTTTAGAAGGTTTGCGAAAATTCTTGATACTTTTCACGGACATGATTAGATGAGACCGCAGCGAGCACGGACACGCACAGGTCGCGCAGCCGTCACCAGGAGATGGACCACGCTTGGGTGTTTGATGGGGCTATAAAAGCCTCATGTGAAAGGACATTGTTTGGCTCAGCTGCGAACCAACGCCGGCTCCACTGCCAAGTACCGGGGGATGCTGCCGAAAGGTGCATCTGAATCAACGGTTGATTAGGAAATTAAGTGGCTCATTCTTCTCGCACGCGTGCGTAGATCGCTATCGAATGATCGCACTCGGATTTACCTAATCGTTCATCGATCTCCGTGTTCCCGGCGATCTTGATTCACGATCTCGATGAATTATTATCACCCCATTTCTCCTTTATCTATTCGTGAGCCCACCCAAAGATTTATCATTTATATAATACATACATATAATTTATCAGAAAACTAAGGCCACGGAGATAATAATACGAACTTATTTCATTTTCTGCTACGTGACTCCTCGCACGACTACAATTTTTGGACACAGTAGTTGTAAGCGTTGTAACTATAGCTTCCTTTTAAGCTAGACTTCGAGGGAATCGTTCGAGTATGATTTAAGAGCCTGACGCTAATCTTTACAGTTGCGCGAATACAGGTACCTCTGGCACTAATTGCTAGTATTGTTCGGTTACTTGCGTTGATCACTATCTAAGGAAACTTTAAGCTCTAACTTACTCATTATGGTCGGTCTCAGTGAAGATCGAACTGGCGATAAATCTGTTGTATTAGTTTTCGACTCCGTCGAATGTATAACCGAGAAGACTGATGATCAATAATTTAATTGTTTCAGCCAGTTCGATGAATCTGGTAAGAAGGAGCGGTGGTCGATGTAATTGAAAAAGGAAAACCAGGAGATGGGGATGGTTCCTTCTTGGTAGATCTTCTCTATGGGTGAAGTGATTCATACACGGTGAATGGTACCGGACCAGGGAATGACACGAGTGTTCACAAGCTGTACCATCCCTTGCACCAAACCCTCTCCTGGTCGAAACTCGAGCGCGGGGTGTCCCACCACGTGTACCAAACTAAGCTGCAGCAAGTGTTCCACCCCTTGCATGTTAAATAAATACTGTCGATATAAGACAATTTTCTGAATCACAATATACACAATTTGTTAGATAAATAGTTTAATTTATTACGAAGCATGATAAAAATTTAATTATCATTTCAAGATCTCATGTTCTATGATAATTTTTTTAGATATACATTAAGCTTGAATCGAATGTGAAATAAAAAAATGCAGACATCGATAGCTTTCCCTTATCTTACTTATTGCTAGTTCGGATAAAATTTCGCATCCCGTATCTCGGGAAAGTTTGGGGTTCCACCCTCTGTCCCTCTCTAAAATCAGGGTGCATTGAAAGAACCGCGAGCCAGCCATTGAGCAAGGTTCCTCCGTGACCAATGGGCCCCTGCACACATGTGCGCGCTTCCCAATGCGATATTAATATCGCGATTATCATCTACGTATTATCGTCCATCCCTCCCGCGATGTTCAAAATAAGCAGCAACAAAACATCAAGAATAATACTTTTACTTGCAAACGAATGGAATTATTCGTTTGCAAAGTGAACCACTATTTTACTTTAATATTTCAAAATTAATCGCATCTCTTTCGCATTGACAAATGAATTGATGAACAGAACTATTATTATTTGAAATTTTGCTTGGCGTAATGCTCGAGCATTCAAGTAGATTTTAATGCTTGATACGAGAGATGCGCTTCCGGCTGTGGACGCGAGCGACCATCGAAAACGCGAACGTGAAACCCCTCGATACGCGGAGATGTAACAAATCTCATTGTTCAACACCCTTTTACGAGATTCTATACAACGTAACCGCGCGAGTTATGATTGGCTTTGCGGGGAGGTGACCATAAAGGTGATTCGTCTCGGTTCTGCAAGTGTCAAAAGTGTATCCCTAATAGCCCTTCCAACGAGACTTAGCCTTATGTATTATGCATTAATATTCACCGAGAATCATCGCAGACACCGCTCGATTATTATTAGTAACCGATTACGGCGACTCATTCTCCTAAAATTAATTTGTAATCACTGTCTCGTAATTGGTAAAGTAAAATTTCGATGTGCAGAAAGTAAGAAAAATCCAGTTACTAAGTTCGCATGTGCAAAGGCATGTAGCGATACGTTGCGGTGAAAATTTTGTAGCTTCGGCACGTGTCGTCGGCATATTGCTCGTGTCTCTCGATCCCGAGCACCCTGTAACACGACACGTGCCAGCCCCGAGGTGCACCCCATGCTCGGGTTCCTGTTTAACCATTAGCGATTGTTTACTTGATTTTAAGAATCAATTCATTTGAACCACCGTCAAACAAACACGTGAAATTCATGTCCGATAAGACAGATTCATTCACTACTTTATATTTTTAAATTAATTATGGATCGTGGAAAGAGAGATGATTTCGTGTTGAATCTATCTTGTGAGGATGTTAAAAAAATTGCATAGAAGTGCAGGTGACACGGGTCACATGAAGTAACCCCCAGCGATGAGGCCCACCACCCCTCAAATCTCCCTAAAACACGATTCACTTGGCACACAAGTTTTGCGCATATAATGCGCGGTATCGAGACGAGAGACCAAACCCCGACCCGTTTAATTTAATCCAATACAATATGGTCCCTCTCACCTTATCTGTTCGGCAAGGGGTGCGCGGTTCGAGAGGGTGGGTGGATTTTTAAAACTGTGCCAATCTCAATTCACCGTGAAACCTCATCCTATTATGATCAATCCTGATTGGGCCGGACAGGTTTTTTACTATCGCGGTGTACCAAACGCGTCTTATGTAATTTCAAGGGACGAGCAGAGATAATATATTTTTCTATTTTCACATTTCTTTTTTATCATATACTTATGTACGAAACCGAATAACGAAACGAAAAGATCGGCCCTGCCTAACTGTATAATTTTATTGTAATATTTACTTG